CATCATTGGACTCAGAATAAATGTGAACTTCCTGTTTTCGTTCGAATTTGTCTCCTGTAAACTGACCGCCTCCGTGGTCTAAAAGTAGAGCGTCCGCCCGGAAAGCGGAAGGTCCGGGGTTCGATCCCCAGCCGCGTCATACCAAAAGACGTTAAAAGATGGTACTTGTTGTTACCCTGTCTGGCGCTCGGCATTGAGGGGCTAAAACAAGAACTGGTCGGCTCGGAGTCAGTATACTGTGTCTGAGTGGGGTATTCATGTGAAACTGCGGCATGGTATCTCAGTGTGCTAGCACTATAAATCGGCATCAGTCCGGACTAGTAAAAGCAGACACACACATACATACACGTGCATGCACGTCGCTATATAAGTGCAATAATCTTGGACGCGACGTTAAACCCCATTTCACCTCACCTCACCTCCTGTAAACTTATTAATAGGACTCCTTGTGACTGAAATACTTGAAACCACAGGTAGGGCTATCGGTAGTTACTCGATATTTCAGTCTATCAAGCATTTTGTCCTTGTTAAGAGGCAAAAACCAGTTTTGTAGCATTTCTGACATTAACAGTACTTTAACTATACTTCCCATTTATTAAGGATACCTGATACCAGAATACACACCTTCCAATTTAGACAACCAATTATGATGCATATGAATATTAGTGCCATAGATTTTATGGTTTATTATCAAGACTTCGCGTCAGACAAACCAAAAGAAAGTACTTCGTGTGTCGCTTATATGTTTATCGCCGCCATTTCTCGCACGTTGTTTTTTTTTTCGGAAATGGCGTCAATTAACTACGATCGGCTATTGAAGGATACAGACGAAGTTGTTCCGCTGCATTTGACCGAGTTTCCCATGAAGGTTGTGCACGTATTTCATTAACGACCGTTGTTTTTTTTAGTTCGCATAATAAATGCATTCAGTTCCAATACGGAAGTTATGCTACCAATACCCCTTCATTTTAAACCCATTCAAAGCTGTTTATTCAAATAGATAGGACGGCCTGAAGTTACAATGTCTGTCAGATGATTCTGATGTAACTGTTTTCAGGACTGAGCAAACAACAGTGGGATAATCCTCATCTCCATCTACTGGGATAAAGTATGCTCAGTTTATTTTGTACCGCAAAGGCTGTCAAGATGTCCCCTGTTAAAGTGTTACAAGTAGTCTTGTTTCTGTAGGAACATCCGGAAGATGTACAGCAACAGGTATTCACGTATTAAACCTTTCCCTTGAAGTTAAAGTAGCAGAATTATGACATCGCCTTCAAACAATTACTTAAAATGTGATGTGTATTCATTTCGTCTATCCCCCACTACCATAAGCGCAGGTGGTTGTCATATTTTGATATGAACAGACAACATGCAATTATAAAATAAGGTACAGGCACACCAAAGGCACACCACCCCCAATCCGTCTTGTCCATGTGGAGATCCCTGTTAAAGATGTTAAACATGTAATACGCGATTGTAAATTATTTCAAATTAATAATATATAAATCACATGTCAAGACAACAACAATGTGAAGACACGTAAAATCCCTGACTTCGACCACACATTCCAAGTTAGTCGAGGATCTCGTTGTCGAATACTACTGCACTGCCGATCCATTCTTGATCCCCTGTAATTTGAGTGTCCTGTTTCCCTATCCGGGGTTTATAATTAGTTATCATTGCACGTGTCCAAAAGGGTGAAGGGAAGTGTCCAGTTATTATGTCCTGGTCGAGGTCCACGTATTCATGGAACATGTCAAAAGGTAAACACACGAAGTGAGTGGAATGTTGTGCAACTCTTATATTGAAGACCGCCTCCATCGTCTAGTGGAAGGAGCGTTTGCTCGATTCCCCGGCCTTTTCACACTGAAAGATGTTGAAGATGGTACTCTCCATTAAGGGGCTAAAACAAAGACTGGAAGTCCCTGAACTGTGTCTGAGTGGGGAAGACATGTGAAACTGCGGCATAGTATCTCAGTGGGCTGGCACTGTAAAGCCAGCATTATTATGGAATAATGCAGGACACACACACACGCACACAGGCACGCACGCACGCACGCACGCACACACACAAACGCTCACTCGTACGTGCCTTTGTAAATGCAATATTCATGAATGTTGGATTAAGCCTCACCTTACATTAAACATTTACAATGGTTGAACTGCAACTAAAGGGAGGCAACTCGTGTCTCCTTATCATGTTAAAAGGAACTATAAAGTGTAAATTGTACATCAAGAATGTTTTCAGTTATTTGAGAACCAGTCGAATTTAGCTCAGTCTCTTTGTCGTTGCAGTTCTACGTGGTAAATTCAAGGTCATATAATGCAACTAGAATTAGTGATGTTTTGTTTTGTATATGTATGAATATGATAGACAAAAGTAAAAAATCCTGAAAGTGACGGTCGGAATGTGTCTTCCAATCATGCAAACTGGAAACGGTGAACACGGGGTATTCCGAAAAACAGTTACGGACTCTCCAAATGATTCCGTCGAAATCATCGCCTATCTCTTGCTTCCATGGGAAATTTGAAATTGAAGAGACTTTCCGAGCGAAGAATTGCCACACAATCTTGGCCGCCTGATAGACATTCCAGCATTTCGTTTTTTTAGTTTTCAAATTTTGAATTGATATTTTCCCAAGGTGGTCTGGAAAGGAAGTTGCCATAAAGCTGCCTTCTAAATGGCTGAGGGGCGGTCGGGTAGCCTAGTGGTTAAAGCGTTCGCTCGTCACGCCGAAGACCCGGGTTCGATTCCCGACATGGGTACAATGTGTGAAGCTCATTTCTGGTGTCCCCCGCCGTGATATTGCTGGAATATTGCTAAAAGCGGCGTAAAACCATACTCACTCATCCACTCTTAATGGCTGATGTCGACTTGTTGTTTGTCATTTTATTGGTCGGTCAAAGTTCGCGAAAGGTCGTCCTGGCGTGCCCTGTTTTTGGATGTACTCAGAATTTTGTTCGGCAGTAGCGAGAACTAAAATCTGATTTAAGTGAACTTGGGCAGATAATCGAGATTGATTATTTTCTAGTGTTGATGTCTTATATTTACATAATGCTGTCAATGTACACACTTTAGGTCTTCAGCAACCGAATCTTGCTGTATAGTAAGGCTATGCTTTTCGTAATGGAAATCTACACAGAAGGAGATCTAGAGTCACCTCTATCTGTATCGAGCCAGTCTCTACATTCCTAAACTTCTTCTGACACAAGTATTTGCTGATGGTGACCCGTGAAGATCCGGGGTAGAATAGGTCTTCAGCAACCCATTCTTGCCGTGAAAGGCGACTATGCTTGTCGTAAAAGGCGACTAACGGATCGGGTGGTCAGGCTCGCTGACTTGGGTGAGGCATGTCATCGTATCCAAGTTGCGTGGATCGATGCTCATGATGTCAAACACTGGATTGTCTGGTCCAGACTTGATTATTTACAGACCGCCGTCATACAGCTAGAATATTGCTGAGTGCGGCGTTAAACAAACAAACAAAGCCCTCAGAACAAAGCACAGGTGTGGACCAGCTGTGCACCTAAATCAGCATAATATGCAGCCAGTGCGATATACATGTAATTACTAAATGCTAAAACGACACATTTGGTATAATTCGAAAATACGTTCTCTATACGTCTTTCTTCCAATCGATGTCTTTCAAATGAAATCGGATTGATAATCCTTAATAATATGCAGATATGACAAAACTACTGCGGCAATAGTAAGCAGAATTCATTCACGCTATCACTCATTACTTTTAAGCCATCACGATGTACAAATGCGACTGTTTGTAAATGATTGCATTTGATGTTAACTAATGTCACGGTGCCCGATAATTCGTGTAAAAACGTGGACACTTAAGTACGTATTTTGAGAAGTTTTCGGTGAAGATTATGTCCTGTATAATTAATAAAGAATCTCTGGAGATCCGGATTAGGATTCAGCAACAAACCATGCTTGACGTCAGGGGACATTAACGGGATCGGGAGGACAGACTCACTGATTTGATTGATGCATGTCATCGTATCCCAATTGCGTACATGATTCAATTACTGAATTGTGTGGTCAAGAATCGAATATTACACACCGCCGTCATGTCGCTGGAATAGTGCTGAGCGCGGTGTTAATCAATCAATCATTCATTACATCAATAATAATTGATAATGAGTACATATACTTTACATTTTTAGCAATAATTCAGCAATATTCAGACGTGGGACACCAAAAATTGGTCTCACACATTCTTTCCATGTGGGGAATCGAACCAGTCTACGACGTGACGAGCACACGCTTTAACCACTAGGCTACCCCACCGCCCAAAGGACCCCATGAAGATTCAGTGGTCATTTTCGTAGAAGCCGACCATATTAAAATGCCTCATCTGGTTGATACTGTGCCAAGGTACCCCTCGTTGTATCGTTGCTCATACTATCAACCACTGGTTTGCTTGCTACAGACTCATAAAATCAAACAACTCCATCACTCACTCAGAATGATTGAGGGCGAATTCAGTGGAGGGGCAGATCATATAAAAACAAAGCCAAGTGCTTAGATAATCCCTTGTTCTCCACAAAGAATTCACAATTTAGTTTGAATTCAGAATTTATTTATTGGAAATCTACATTGAAGATGAGCCCTTCTCACTGTATCGAGCTAGTCCCTACATTCCTAAACATCTTCTGACACAAGTGTTTGCTTATGGTAAAGTGATTGTATTCCAAGTCTATCCAATGGCATCGACCATTTGGTCTTAACCGTCGTGTGTTTAAGTGACTGGACAAGTTACATGTTGAGTTAAACAGATGAAGTGTTGACAACTGAAATACATACAGTTGGCAGACATTCTTGACACCATATCTTACTAACGCAATGTTCAGAAGCTGTATGTTAGTCAACATGTACATGTAAGTCACGTGACAAACATGTGACCCTGAATGTTGTTAGAAATAGTAAAGAAATAGATGTTCATAATGTTTCTAATTGTGAAAAACAACATCGTTCTAGAAAGCAGTTGGTTTGAAACATTACTTTATTGCAACATTGTGGTAAATATGACAACAATTTAAATTAAGAGAATGCATACTTTTTGCGTTATCTAGTGGTTTTATTGAACTCCGAAACTGGATACCTATTGTAATTCATGAGTTATGAAGTTGCCAGAAGCCCTGCTCATGTCTGTTGTCCGAGACTGGTGTATTCTTGAAATTAGCGACGACGACAACAGCAGCAAGCGCTTGCAACATCTACCCGAGCAGCTGCTGCACGTTTCCGTCGCCTGGATGGAGCTGTAATAATCAAATTATGTCTATGAAGTATAACTTATGGTGCTATATGTATGAGATAATATAGATAATTAAGTGGCATTCTGATTGTCCCAGCTCAAATGAACAGAAATTTAGAAAGGCGTGAGAATACAACAAAAGTAAAATAGACAAAACCACTGCTACCACTATCAGTGTCACTCTATAAACAATCCACACCAATACTTACCTCATTCGATTAACAAGTACTTTTCACTGACTTAGGCCACAGATAGTTCACATTTTAGATACTGTTTTGTAGAGGAATCGCCAGTAAATATTAATGACATATAAGGAAACAGGTGTACAACAGAGTGCCAAAACCAGCTCCCGTGTAATACCAATATAAAGAAATGAATGAATAATTCTGGTATTTGACGAGCAAATGTTTAATAAAAACGGTATGACATGGGAGCGAGTTCAGTCAAATATATATTACTTGCAACTTATAACCTTTTCAACCGTAATTTGATCGAACTATTGGAATTCCCGTCATTAACTAGGTGAAGCGTATGAATACAACAAGTCTGGCGTTGTGTGTGAAAGGAAGAGATTATTGGTTGGTTGGTTGGTTTGTTGTGGTTTGTTGTATAACGCCGCACTCAGCAATATCCCAGCTTTTTGACGGCGGTCTGTAAATAGTCGAGTCTGGACAAGGCAATCCAGTGATTGACAACATGAGCATCGATCCACGCTATTGGGATACGATGACATGCATCAGCAAAGTCAGCGAGCCTGACCACCCGATCCAGTTAGTCGCCTCTTACGACAAGCATAGTCACCTTTTACGGTAATTTTGGGTTACTAATTGATTTTAACAGAATAATACAGTGAGGAATAAGTATGGTTTTACGTCGCTTTTAGCCATATTTCAACAATATCACGGAGGTATGGGTGGGTACACTGAATATGGGCTTCACACATTGAACCCATGAGGGGAATCTTGATCTTCGCCGTGCTGAGCGAATACCGACGTTGTGACGTAATCTTTGAAACGTTCTGTGCAAGCTGCACCAGCGAGACAATGTCCTAATGTCATGTCATGTCATCGAGTTTTGAGTGATCTATCACTATAGAATAAGTGATCTGATTTTGCAATTGAGGGTTTTCCATATTTTTCGTGGAACTAGTTCCGAGAATACTTCCATGTAAGCACGCGCTGTGGTATTAAACACCAGCTTATTGTTATTAAACAGTAGTACCCTAAACGGGCGAATAATAAACGGAAATATCACTTGGACAAATGTCTTACATGAACTATGTATTTAGAGTTTCACACAACCAATGATGTAAGGCAATACATACCTGTGAAGTCAACGGTGCCAGTGTGCACGAGACCGACGAAGTAGACGTCGTGGAAGCGGCAGAAGCAGTCGATCTCATCTCCAAGGAGGTCCTCCACAGCCCACGGCTCAATGGGGCAAACCTTCTTCACGTCGATCCATTCTTCAGCGAGCTGGCCTACGGTTGCATTGTGCTTTGGGAGTAAATGAGAGAAAATATCTTATTTCTAAACGCCTAAGTTCAGGACTAAGACAGCTGTGGAGACAAGAATCAGACAAAATGTGAAATATACTCTCCAACGAAAGTAGGGGATCACGACAAATAAATGTTATCGTCACCAGGTGTTGATGAAAAGTCGAGCGTATGTTCCCCAACCGGTGGCACCCGTCACAACCACACACAAGGGGTCCACCTGAACAAACAGGATCATCAGATACAAGTCAAAATAGGGAATTGCATCCAGTCAATAATACAATAAATTTAGAAATGTTGGGAGCGTGAATGTTTTCCAATAAGAATAATCAAGCCCCTGATGATCCAGAATGGTTATTCTCTGGCGTTAACGTTTTGTATAAACAAAATAAACTTGCATATGCGTGGCACGGCGTTAAACCGTTCGGCTATCACGCCTAAGACTTGAGTTCGAGTCCCCATTTTTTATGTCCCTCGCCGTGATATTGGGAACATTTTCTGAAACCGGCATAAAACCATCATCGCTCACTCATTCTTATGAATATAATAGAAAATCCTTCCTTGATTGTATTTCGAATTTTAGTTTATGATTGAGAGAAGGATTTGGTGGTACATTTGCTTGACCCAGCAAAATAGCTCTCTTTGTATTCCTTTTAGAGAAGCTCTGGAATCCGGACGCCAGACGTCAGTACATATCCTTAGTAAGTATTCTACCCTTTAAACAACATTTCCTAATCTTTGTTAGAAATTGAAGCAAAACTTCACGTACCTGTTCGATACCTCCTATTTTCACTTTCAACTCTTCAAAGGTTTCTTTGATATGTCTGACATAGCATTCTTTGTCCACCGAATTTCTCATGGCAACAAGTTGCTGAAATGAGAAAAAAGAAAATGAAGCTAGCATAAATGGGTGATTTTGTTCCGCTGTAGACATCGCTGCAAGCTCTATCAAGGTGGCACCTAAATAACCGGGACTGGACCAGGAAGATCGGTGACTGAAAGCGACAATCAGCACCATTTGGACATGCAGTCTGATAGGTAACAGTGTCTGTCTTACAAATCAATTTCAGTTGACCTTTCTTTATGCGTATGTTACTGGGTGCCACTTTTACCCAAGACTGACAAAGGGGCAATGGTGTTTAAAGAAAACGGTTAGTTTGAATGTAAGCTTATTGAAATGGACGTTAAGGTTAACACAAATTTCGTCAGAAAATATTTCAACGTTTATTGTACCACTAAGAGTAGAATAAATATCACATACCCTGGAAAACACGTGGAGGTTGGTGGTTTCTCGGAAAGAGGCAGGCGCATTGTCTGGTTTGTGGGACTGCAGTTCAATGATGCCATCTCCGATTGCCACGTCCAGCAGCATTGTCGTATCCCCGTAGGTAGCGCTGATATTTCTCCACTACAGGTATAGGAATTGATTGTTGTTTAGCGCCGCAATCAGCAAAATTCCAAACACAATTAGAAAGAATTAAAGCATACAAGATAGACTGATTATTAACACGAAGAAATTTGAATTCAATGCATTAAGTATCATTCTCATATGTTTCACTTTTATATACCAAAATGGAGATCAGATATCTATATTGTAAGAATTAACTTGAGTCTGTCTGAAGATTCTTGACAGGGTAACTGGTCAATTGCATTTAGTTCCTGTGTTTGCATTGCCATCAATAAGGAGATGTTGACCTATAAGTAATCGAGTCTGGACCAGACAATCCAGTGATTGATATTATGATCAGCGATTCACGACTTCGGAGTGCACTGACACGTTGAAACAAGTCACCGAGTCTGACCACCCGTTCCATTTAGTTTCCTTCAATGCCCATATAGGTTGTTGGGAACCAATTCTAACATCTGTGGTCTTGTGGATAGAGCGTCTGCCCAGAGAGCAGATGCGCGTCGAAATATAAGTGCAATAATCCTGAGTGCAACATTAAACCTCATATTATCTCACCTCACATCTAACCTGGAATCCCCAAGGAGGAACCACTATTAATTTATTTTACTTCTCGGACCATGTACAATGTCGGCACCCAACACAGTATGACATAAATTCATTGCACTCCCTTTCACTCATTCACTCGCTCACTCACCTCAGACGCTGCTGCAGAAGACAAAATGAGAGCAAAACTCATCAGGAGCATCGCCATTGTGGATATTTAAGACTGAAACAGGAAGTTGATGCAACATTAATACAAAATATTAAAAGGGGATCATGGTGTTGAGATGTATGAAGGAATGAGAGGAGCTAAGCTATACGATAGAAGTGTAAAGAATAAAAAGGTAAACTGACCTTTGCTATTGTAGAAGCACCAATTCCCCGTCTGTAACAAGTCGTTCTACTCATCGGCATTTATATCTAATCTGTTAGATACGTGAGTTGTACAGACTCGTCAATTATCCAATCACATGTAATCAGTAGAGGACCACGTGAGTTGAAGATTACGGTCACACAGCCAATCACAATCATTCAGAAGAGGAACCACTGAATCTTGAAACAGTTTGTTGTTTGGCCGTCACCTGAGCAGTGACCATAGTTAGCTCCTCACAATGTTCTCATTATACCTTCTACTCTTTTCTGTAAATAACATGACTTAATTGCATGCTCGTAATATCCTTCTTCGCCACAAGATAAAGTGCATTATTGTACAATGCATTTATTGAGAACACGTTGACGTCATTTGAAATATTGCAGTGATTCGTGGGTGTACATGGATTTCTTCCTCGGGAGATGCTATGAAGGCTACATCACGGGGGCTGTTAATTTAAAATTCTATATTCCAGGTATATGACGGCGGTTAATTGAGATCAAATTTCATGTACCTATAATATATATTTAAAAACATGCAATACTTACAATGTTGGAATATCTCCTGACTCAGACAGGCTCAAAACCGCAAGACAAATGAAGATGCATGTTTTCGGATGCCAAAGTAGACAAATTATTTTCCTGTAATAGCGACGTAACAGTTGATGAGTCGGAACTCCCTTTGAGTATATAGGATGCTATATCAGAAAACGTATGCAGATGTGTCGCAATGTATGATAATACAACAGTCCCTCTGTTTGTGAAAAAGAAAATACCGCAATCTATTGAATACTGTTTTCTCGAGATCCAGTCTTTGGGCCACTGTGTCAGGACGTCCTCGCAGCGATGTATATATGCAACAGTGTCCAGTACGGTAACATTAGTCGGAATACATATCATTTCAGGTGTATGCCTACATTTCGCAGACTACTTTATAATATAGTTGTCACTCGAAATTCAGGGCCTTTTTTCTCATTCTCGGTCAATGATATTTTCAAACTATCCTTTTATCCTTTTATGATGCAAGCCTCCGTTCACAATCATGGTCGGCTGCACACATTCTCGGCAAAGGAAACCTATTCTGCACACTTTTAACCCTTAGACATTACATAGTTCTTGATAGACAATTGAGTATATTAAGCTTGTCTTCATGTCGTATACTACCACGAACGGACAATGAAACCATTTAGATTAAACCGATCAAGATTATGTTTTAACACATGTACAGGGAGCGATACAGCCAGCTGACAATGGGCAGGAAGAGACACTTTCCTTGCACTGTTAGCTGTACATTTTGATGCACTGCAGTGGTGATACATCAGGACTGTTTCTTGTGTATGCCATTTCACTAACATTTGACCTAAAGTGTTTTGATATTGAATAAGACACAGACACACAAACACACACTACACACATTAACAATTGACCTAAAGTGTTTCGATATTGAATCAGACACAGACACACAAACACACACTACACACATTAACATTTGACCTGAAGTGTTTCGACATTGCATTCTGAATCTTAAAAATGACGAATATCATCTCGATGAGCAATCAAACTATGTTACGAGACATGTGCGCGTGCGAGGATAGTGTTTCACAGTAGTCCTTGACTTGCCTTGAAGGATCGCCAACGTTTGTTGCCACAGTGTGAGGTAATTGTGACTAAATGTGTTAGTGTGCGACTTTTCGAACACATTTGTAAAAGGAATTTGTTTACCACAACATTTTATGAACTTTCCAAGTCACTCTTAGCATGTGATATGTTTATCCATGTCCGCCATATAGCAGGGATCTTGCTGAGCACAGCGTTAAACAACAAACAAACAAACTTATACATGCATGTTTGTTTGTTTGTTTGTTTGTTTGTTATTTTAAAATACATAACTACCATGCAGTGTCATATGCCTTTTCTTGATCGAAAAAGAAAGACACAATGTTCACAATTGCATTCTTAACGAATCACTCTAATCGATCTAAATTGTCAATGGTACTGCGATTTTTTAAGAAAACCACATTGAATATTTGTTATTAAATTATTGGATTCTAAGTTCCATGTCAGTCTTTTACTGACCATGCGTTCCATGGTTTTGAAAACGCAGTTAGTCAATGAAATGGGTCCATAATTTGAGGGATCGGTATGATCCCGTATCAGTTTTGGTATAGGAACAACTATGATATCACGCCATGATGAAGGAAACTTACCAGATGTCCAAATATCGTCAAATAGTAACAAGAGAGATTCTGTACAAGGTTCCGGTAAATGTTTCAGGAGTTGATAATGCGCATTATCAGCTCCTGTAGCAGTATGTATCATGAGCTTGCCCAAGGGTTGGTTGGTTGGTTTGTTGTTTTACGACGCACACAGTAATATTCCAGCTATATGACGGAGGTCTGTAAATAACCGAGTCTGGAACAGACAACCCAGTGATTGATATCATGAGCATCGATCCATGCAATTTGTATCGATGACAATGCTTCAACCAAGTCAGCGAGCTTGACCACCCGATCCTGTTAGTCGCCTTTTACGACAAGCCAATTGCCTTTTACGGCCAGAATGGGTTGCTGAAGACCTATACCACCCTGGATTTTCACGGGTAGCTTGCCCAAGGGCAGTATGGAGCTAATGAATGGAAAATATTTTATTGTAGTCTTCGCATTATCTGATTTTAAATTAATGTTTCTCTTTTCCTGCTGCTGTTGGTATTTTTTAAATTTAGGAACATAGTTAGTCGAGGAAGAATTTGTTGCTGCCAGTTAATATGCAATACTTGTTTCTGCCATATATGTTGTTTGTTTGTATGTTGTTTTACGCCGCACTCAGCAATATTCTAGCTATATGACAGCGGTCTGTAAATAATCGAGTAAGGACCAGACAATCCAGTGATTGATATCATGAACATCAATCCACGCAATTGGGACCGATGACATGCAACCCCCCAACAGCAGTTTCATGTAAACTGTCACATTTGGGGCGATTAATTAACATAATATCATAGTATGCTAATGTGGATGTTTTGTAAACGTCCGACAAAGGACTTGTCCATACAATCTAGGATTATGTTTGTGTCGTTCGTCTTGAGAATTCATGAAGCTGAACTGTCATGAATGTGACCCGACAATAGTCCCCGTTCACAGAACTGGAATCTTATTTTGGAATATGGACTTGTCTCATCATTGCCTACCATCTCCCTCATTAAAATAGATTTATCTTCCAGAAATAGTCACACCAAAAGATATCCATGTATCATGACTGTATAGTACGTCAAAGTCAACGATTTTTCTGCATGGTATATGATTGGTCAGACATGGATACGTCATGATAAGTTATGATAAGGCAATGGGATACAACCCATACAAAAGGAGAGTCAACTGCATAATTCCTACCACATCAGGAGCATGTGGTATGAACCGTTTTTGAAATAACATTAAGTATTAATGTGTCATGAATCACTATCAAACAGTGATGACAGAGAGTGCTCTCGAAAAGGCGAGCTCACCCCTCCCACTGGCGTTATTCGTTTCAAGAGCTGCACAAAGACTGGTGTGAATTGCAAGAATAAGACGATTCCCTTTGTATGTTAAACAAAATGTTTTGGCTAAGGCTATTATTTTTGTCCAAAGTAAACATGTACTCGTCAAGGACATTTTTCAATAGACATTGAGAATAGAAAAGAAATGGCCGCCTTTGTGACAACCGATGATACACAATGGATATATTTAAAAAAGGGTATGTCAATCTGATCTCATGTTAACGAGCGTCTCTTCTGTGTGTATCAAGTTTAAACATGACAAAGAAAACACCTCAACATCTTACAATGCACCTTAAGATTAGAGTGGGGCATCGTAAACTATGATCGTAAACAAAACTATCCAACACCAGGGTATGAAACTCCTAAAAAATTCAGCCAGACCACAGGACTGGTTAGCTGAAATACTTGCCAGCCCTGACCAAAACCTGCCTGCCCACTATAATCATATTGTTTTTCAGGACAAGCTAACGGATTTTCTTTTTGGTTACATTTTATCATTCATCTTTACATGTGAATTAATGCTTGTCATCGGGAAATATTTAGAATATTTTCACATATGAAATATAACCCGACCGTCGGGCAGTGGAATTTGAAAATCTGGCAGCCCGAGTTGAAATCAACCCGTCTTGGACGATCGGGCAGGCAGGTATTTCGAACACTGCCAACAGGTCATTACTGACAAATACACCCAGGCAATCTATGCAAGATCATGGGATGCATGCGTTTTGAAAATTACAAATCTAAGACTGCCACTTGTATGAAAGAAACGACAACCTAACCTAAACAATACCTGATTTTGAGTACCTACAATGTTGTAGTTACACTATCTGTCTCAAAATACATATTGTATGTCTAAAATATTTATTATGACACGAAGCGTGTGAAAAGCTATGCAATATATTCATGAAACAATAAAACCAATTGTGTTTAATTGTCGCCGCTATAATGAAACAATAAAACAAGTTGTGTGCATGTGTTGCTAACATAATGAAACAATATAACCAATTGTGTGCAATTGTTGCCAACATAATGAGTGAGTGAGTGAATATGGTTTAACGCCGCTTTTAGCAATATTCCAGCAATATCACGGCGGGGGACACCAGAAATGGGCTTCACACATTGTACCCATGTCGGGAATCGAACCCGGGCCTTCGGCGTGGCGAGGAAACGCTTTAACCACATGGCTACCCGACCACCCCGCCAACATAATGAAACAATAAGACCAACAGTGTGCAATTGTCGCCAACATAATGAAACAATAATACCAGTTGTGTGCATGTGTTGCTAACATAATGAAACAATATAACCAATTGTGCAATTGTCGCCTACATAATGAAACAATAAAACCAATTGTGTGCAATTGTCGCCAACATAATGAAACAATAAAACCAGTTGTGTGCATTTGTCGCCAACATAATGAAACAATAAAACCAGTTGTGTGCAATTGTCGCCTACATAATGAAACAATAAAACCAGTTGTGTGCAATTGTCGCCAACATAATGAAACAATAAAACCAGTTGTGTGCATTTGTCGCCAACATAATGAAACAATAATACCA